TCTGGGCGACAGAATGAGACTCCATCTCAAAAAAAAAAAAAAAGAATGTGACATTAGATTTGTTCTCTAGAAAAATTACTCTGGTTATAGTCCGAAAAAATGCCCTAAAGGTATATGGTAACTCTGTGTTGTGTCAACTTGGCTAAGGGAAATTACATTTAAAGGGAATCTCCTTCTAGCATGGCTCCAAGTTAGAGATAGCCAAAGGATAAACTTGCACCAGGCTAGAAGGCAGAAATGAATCTATGGCGAGCTGGCTGCCATGTCTAGAGGCACTGTCAGGTATAGAGGTGCCAGCGGGTCCCCAGTGATCCTCTCTCCCCCACCCAGCCACTGGCTCCTCTTCCTGTCTGCCAGACCTGCTGACCAGCTCCACATCCACCACCAGCTGCAGTGACACAGTCCTACAAGGACCACACCAGGTATCCTTCCTGGTCCACCCTGCAGCAGGAGGTGCCTGGGTTTTCAGCTATTCCTAGGTAAGTTCCCATTTGCCCACCTAAACCAGTGCTACCATTGGTGCATCAGTATCTTCTATGATGCCCCAGCTTCTTTTTTCTGGCCCTCACTCGCCATCTTCTCCTATAATTCTTAGTCATATATAAGAAAAGTTATTACTCTGTAACACTCATAGTAGCTTTGCTTCCCTGGTTGAATTCAGTCAAATAAATTGAGTAAAAATAAAGGAGATGGCAACCCTCTTTCAGGTCCCCTCCCACTGCGGGTCTTCTTAATAAACTCCTGCTTTAAAACATAAACAAAAAATAAAAATAAATAAGAGAGAAATTGAAAGCAGAGAGATTTTTCTTTTCTTTTCTTTTCTTTTTTTTGGAGTAGGAGTCTCACTCTGTCACCCAGGCTAGGGTGCAGTGGCATGCTCATGGCCATCGCAGCCTCGGCCCACTGGGCTTAGGCAATTCCTTCACCTTAGCTTTCCAAGTAACTGGAACTATAGGTGCGTGCCACCACACCTGGCTAAGTTTTTAATTTATTGTAGAGATGAGGTCTCGTCAAGCTGCCCAGGCTGGTCTTGAATCCCTGGACTTGGAATCCTCTCACTCCTGCTTCCCAAAGTGCTGGGATTACGAGCATGAGCCACCGTGCCCAGTTGCAGAAAGATTTTTTTTTTTTTTAATTTTTCAAGGTGTTAAAATGATACCTGGAATCAAGTGAAAATTTTAAAAATGCTGATTGGATAGGATAGATGGGTGGCCAAACAGCATTGCAAGACAGGAATCCTTTTAGATATAGCATTCTTTCTTTAAAAAAAAAATTAAAAAAAATTTTTTTTTTGGACAAAATCTCACTCTATCCCTCAGGCTGGAATGCAGTAGCATGATCATAGCTCACTTGACCTCCTGGGCTCAAGCGATTCTCCCACCTCAGCCTCACAAGCCTGAGATTACAGGCACATACCACCAGTCCGCTAATTTTTTAATTTTTTTGTAGAGGTGGCATCTTGCTATGTTGCCCAGGCTGGTCTCAATCTCCTGGCCTAAAGCAATTCTTCTGCCATGGCCTCCCAAAGCACTGGGATTACAGGTATCAGCCACTGTGCCTGGCTGATATAACTTAAACAGAGAAAAGAAAACTGAACCCATTTATACTTTTCACATTGGTGTTTTCTACAGAGTTCTAAACTGTGCTACTACATATTGAAAGCCATGGAAATTCTATTTCTCTATAATGTCTTTGCATTCTATACAAGTACACCCTGAGTTTTCCCCTCCAGAATTCGTTTCTGACTTTTTTCCAGTTTTTTTTTCTTTCTTTCTTTTTTTTTTTTTTTAAGTTGGAGTCTTAGTCTTACTCTGTCACCCAGGCTGGAGTGCAGTAACATGATCATGGCTACTGCGGCCTTGACCTACTGGGCTTAGGCGATTCTTCTACCTCAGTCTTCAAGTAGCTGAGACTACAGGTTCATGCCACCATGCCCAGCTAATTTTTTGCTTTATTGTAGAGATGAAGTCTCACCATGTTGCCCAGGCAGGTCTCAAACTCAGGCAATACTCTTGCCCCCACCTCCCAAAGTGCTGGAATTATAGGCGTGAACCACTGCAGCTGGCCCTTTTTTCTAGTTTCTATGACAGTGTGACCTACAATCTTATTCAGCAGAGTATCTCTCAATGACATTTTTGTACAATTGTCTGATTTCCCAAGAAGCATATTTTATTGTTTTCACATATATTTATTTAACTCATTTCTGAGTTTCCAGAAGGTTTTTGCTTAGCTTCTTCTAAATTCCAGGCAGGCTACTGACATTATTTTTTATTTTAATCCTTGGAGTCATTAACATTCTTCAAAGTAGTCTAAGCTTTCTCAATGTTCTTCAGATTTCCCATCTCTGTTAGATGAAGGTCCTGCTGTCTAAGAGACTCAATTACGGGCTCTTATGTCTATAAGTGCTCAAGAAAAACCTTGTGATTTGAATGGTAAGTAACTGTATTGATCGTTTAGGAATTCTCAGTAGCAATTTAGCTCTACTAGTCATTCTACATTTGGATTCTTTTAGGAGTTGCATTTTAATTCCATTTGTTTGGAGATCTGAATTAATTATTTTGTGGAATTAATTATTTTGCGAAATTAAGTAAGCTTTTTTCCTTAATTTTATAACTAAGTCAAACACAAGGCCCAAAGTACACCTCAAGTCCAGTTCTTCAGAAGTGGGTGGTAAACTGATGAAATGAACAGGCATTTATCCTTGGCTTTCCTTAACTCCAGTGGCCACAAGAACCACCTCAAACTGCATTGGTGTCATACCTTAAATTGCTTCCCACAGGTCGAACACAGGAAGTCTTTGCGGTCCGAATGCCGGAGCATGTGAAGTCGCAGTTTGTCGGGGCGGCAGAAGGCCTTGTCACACTCTGTGCACTGGTAGATTTTTTCTGAGTGGAAGCTGCGCACGTGTTTTTTCACCTGGCGGTAAAGACCATGGGAAAACTCAGGGGATGCAGGCACCAAAGGAAATAACCAAAAGCAGCTGTCAACGCTAGAGGGAGCCAAATGCATTACCAGGGATTTTCATCAACCTGGCCATGGAAGCCAATCAGTTGTGATAATTGGCCTCAATAACACATACTGTCCCTGTCACAAAGAAGCAAGTCAAGTAGCCAGAAAGTCTCAGAAATCCTAACCTCCACAATGACTTGAAGAATGGAAGAAAGGGTACTTGCTTTGAAAAGCCCTGATCACTCAGAGTCCATTGTTTCAGGATTAAAAGCAAGAGTTTCTTTTGCTTTAAATGAATCTTGCTAAAAAATTATCTACAGGAAGACAAAGCAATTTAGCCCCTTTTAGTAACTGATTCTTTTTCATCTTCCTATAAAATCAGGTTCTGAAGAATTAAAGACATGAATTAAATTATATAAAAAACATTACCCGTGTATGAGAGTGATACAACACTTGGCATCATTTCTCCTTAATTGGGACTTATTTCCCTTACTTTCAGATATCTTAAATAAAGAAATATGGCTTCTGAACTCTCTTGTCCATAAATATCCAATGAAGAAGAGCTGTGGGTAGAAGCTAAGTAGTGAGTCATATCAAACTATTTCTATAAAACAATTTGCTTTCTTATTTTTGGAGTGTCTTTTGCCATTAAATTCTGCCTTAAAACCTTTCTAATTATTTGTGTGAAGTGAGAACATTTCCAAGACTCTCGACGCTAACAGAACTATAATTGCATCCTAGTTTCCTTTGACTTTGGTAATTTTTTAAAAGTGTTTTTCCAAGATATTTAATTATTCACTGACTAGGCTATAAAAATATTATCACAAAGTCCAAACAAAATCATGAACATTCTGAAATTTATCTTCACCCATTTTGCTCCAACAAAGAATACACTAAAGGCAGTCAGTGCTTGATACAAAAGTGTATTATACACCAACTTTCTCTGTTTCCTTCCAAAACGCATGGCTCTAGTAAAGCAAGACAGGAAACCATAGCAGTAGGGAGAATTTATATCCAGTTCAGGAAACGGGAGTATGTCTTCTACATGTTCGATATATTTTATGAGTAAAGGATATGAACAAGGATTATGAAAGACTTTTAAAAAATTGTAACAGATCTGGGTATTTATTACTTTTAATATAACTTAAACATTTAAATGCCAATGGCTGAGCTAGAGAATTAAGTGTTATAATAATCTTTTGTTTATCAGAAGTAGTTTGATTGAAGAAATGTTGTTCTCAGTTGTAAAGTTGTTTCAAAGAAGAGATAAAAATGAAGGTGCTAGGCAGTCTCAGTTTTCCAAAAATCGAAGTTTCTTTTACCAAAAGAAGGAAGCAGACAGGACTCTCAGTAGTAGACACTCACCTGGATAAAATCTGGGAACCGTTTCTTACAAGTTGGGCAGGTGAAGTAGCCATCATTGATATGAATGGCCACATGATCTTTCAACAAATCAAGACGGTCAAAGGATTCTGGGCAAAAAATGCAAGAGTAAGTCTTCTGGTCTGAATGGAGCTTCATGTGGCTCTCCAAGGATGTGCTGCTGATGAAGCCCTTGTTACAGAGATCACAGGTCAACGGGCAGTTTCCCTCCCGCCCATGGAAGCGCAAGTGTTGGTCCAGTTTGTCCTTTTCCCGGAAGGCCTTCCCACACTGCAAACATTTAAAAGGCCGGAAGGACTTCCGAATAAACAGATGCTGAAGAGCTGCATTCTGAAAGACACACACAAATATGACCATTTAGTGAGGAAATTCAGAATGCAAGTGAATCACACCTTTATAGAGAAAGAGAGGACGATTTCTGCAACCACAGACTTCCCGTGGAAGTTAAACTCTAGAACACATATGGTTGGAAGAAGATTTTTCTGATGAAGACACTGAAAATGAAGCCATCCCCAAAGAAATTCACCTTGAAAAGACAAAATTTGTATGTGTTTTGTTTCATGTCTATGTATGTGTGTTTTCTTTTGGAAGGGTTTGAAAAACATTCAAAAAAGTGTTCCCAATAGAAGATATGTATAATAAAACAAATCCCACAGTGGAATAGGCTAAAAATTGAAGATCTGCAGGAAAAGACTTAGGGTAAGTCACACATGCATGAAGAGGTTGGAGCAAGTTAGCCAAATGTTACTTGTTGAAGTCTTTGAAAAACAGAGTTTGAAGCTTGATTAAAATGCTTAGCAAAATAATAATAATAATAATAAAAAGAACTCAAGGGCACTCCTTGCCAGGGGAAGGGTGGAGGAGGAAATGGATATCGGGTTTATTTTGGGGGTGATGAAAATGTTCTGGAATTAGATAGTGGTGATGGTTGCACAACTTTAGGAATAGCCTAAAAACAATTCTTAAAAGGTGAATTTTATGCTATATGAATTACAAATTTCAATTTAAGAAAAATAATTGAAAGGGAAATGAAGAATTCAGATTTATATGAATGAGACAGAAGCACATAACAAAAATGGAATATATGCATTTCATCACCTCCTACTTAGAAAATGCAGAAGACAAGGTCTCAACATTGCTAGTTAGTTTTACTGGTTAGAATGCCATGCTAACAAAGTTAAGCTTATTGTTCCCTGCCTAGACCGAGCAATTTTGCTCTTTGTATTCAGTCACAGATTACACTTCTAATGCTGATTAGCCATCTTGTAAATTCATGCAATTGTTATACGGAATCCCAGTGAGAGAATATGGATACTTAGTGCAAACCCATCACTTCTACTAGAAAAACAACTACTCATGCGCTACTGAGAGCAGATCAACAGAATCATCTCTCACGCAGAGAATACAGAATCAATATTTTAGCTATGTTATAATGAAGACTCATTCACAAGTTCCTCAAAACACTAGAGAAAACTCTAGATAACAACAGAGGGGAAATACCTCAAAAAATATATCTGTGAGTGGGTGGGCCTATATAGCATAAGGGAACAGTAGTTGAAGAATTAATGATGATCTTAATGCAATATTTGTGCAATGAAGAAACTCTTAGTTTCAAATTACTTATAAGTAGTAACTTCTAAACTAAATTTAATATGAAATAATATTTTGGGGAGAAAGCAAAATAATTTTTTTTGCTTTAGTGAAATTTCTGAACACAGTTACTATGTAACAGAAAATTTCCCTCTCAGGGCCTTTCTAATGGGACTGAGAGAGAGATTTTAAGATGTAGCCTATTCCTCAATCTATCCTGAGTTGTTAAAAGCAATTCTGTTGTCTCCCAAAGTGAATGGGACTGCTTCAGAGGGTAAAGCATATTTTATTTTCCTTTGTAACTAGATCCCCTAAAAAACTGCTTAGCTCAAAGAAGTGCTCAATAATAGTTTAAGAATTAATGAAATATATATCACATGAAACAAAAAAAAATTATTTCAAGGTCTTTCCTATATTTTCTTTAAGAATAGATCTTGGCTGGGCGCAGTGGCTCAAGCCTGTAATCCCAACAATTTAGGAGGCCAAGGTGAGGGAATTGCCTGAGCCTAAGGGTTCAAGAACAGCCTGGGCAACTTGGCGAGACCTCATCTCTAGAATAAATCAAAAAATTAACCGGGCATGATAGCATGTGCCTGTAGTTCCGGCTACTTGGAAGGCTAAGGCGGAAGGATTGCCTGAGCCCAATAGGTCAATATGGAGTGGCCGTGAGAATGCCGCTGCACTCCAGCCTGGGTGACAGAGAGAGACTCCAACTCAAAAAAAAAAAGAGAATAGATCTTTTTCAAATCAGTCACAGAACTTGCTTGTACATCTTCACATTGTAGCAGTCACCTAATCATTTTATTTTACATAAAAGTTCCTACTATTTTGTCTACTTTCAAAACTTTATGGACACCTTACCGATAAATAGATACTATTCTGAGGTTCAGAAATGCAAGATTTAAAGCACTTTTGCCATGTAAGAATCATTTCCTTTATCCAAGTTCAGTGAAGTGTCCAAGGACAGACACAACGCACAAGAACTGATTTGGGTCCAGCTGAGGATTCCATTTCTCCCTGGGTGCCAAATCCAGAACTCAATTTTGTTTTGCTCCATTATGCTAATCAGTCTTCTGTCATTTCTGATTAGCATGAGTACCTTCAGACACTTGATTTAAACTGAGCCACCACCTGGCTCCACTTTCTTAGTTCTACAGACAAACCTTATCATCTTTTCAATTTCCATGGAGCCCTGAACATTGTCTATGTACTCAAGAACTAGATTGTATTTTTCAGATCTAATGATACTAATGGGATCCTCATATTACAAGGTAGTATAAGTGCTGAAAAACTGTTCCCACCCTCTGACCCACTTGTAGGCCTTTGCTACTCTAAGGTATCTTCTGTAGCTTAGAGCTACAATTGGTACATAATTCTAGAAGAAATCATAAAAAAATGGTGGAGGAAGCAGCTCCACTGCTGTTCTTCTGATACCTCAGTTTGCCAGTTAACCACAGCATCCTGTATGTAAATCAGCTATTTGTAGGGATGCTAAATTCTGTGATTCAGGATTCAACTCCCACTGCAATGAATTCTAAGACAACAGATCCTTTGTAGACAAGACTATAAAAATGTTTCTAAAATGTGGTTTGTAGAGACAGGGGGTCTCACTATGCTGCCCAGGCTGGTCTCAAATATCCAGGTTCAATTGATCCTCCTGCCTCAGCCTCCTGAGTAGCTAGGACTATAGGTGCGTACTACCTCACCCAGCTAAAATGTTTCTAAGGTTTTATATTAATAACTAATGCTGATTAGCCATTTTGTAAAGTTTGAATAGCTAAAGGAACCTAAATTATTGGTCAGTTTTCATACTATTTTGATCCTGACACTAAATGGAAATCAAACTATTATATTGTCTGTTGGTTTGGGTTTAACAACTTCTCTTTAGCCAATTTTCTACTCAATTTTCAAAGCTCTGGTGGGCTAGAACTGCTCAACATATCTCAGTCTCCACTATCCTTCCACTGGCACCCCATGCTAGGCCAAGCTAGTGTTTCTCCTATAACGACACCAAACACATTCCTATGTCTGGAATCTGATCCCATGGCTACTATCCTCTCGAACAGTCTACCTTTCTTTTGAAGACCAGTCTAACTTGCACTTCAACTATGAATTATCCCAACCCCTCCATTTTTCTTTGGTCTTTCACTCTTCCGAGTTTCTACAGCAATTACAAGCTATACTTTTATTGTAAACTACACTACATTAGTATCAACGCCCTAATTAGACTGTAATTCCTAGGATACAGTGCCCAAGTGAAAATTCTATTGTGAACCTAGCACAGTGCTGAAAATACAGTTAGAACTCAACACGATTGTGTGAGTCATTCAAATTATTTTAGTGCTGGAAGGGACCTTGGAGATCACTTAGTCCTATCCTTCATTTTACAGATGAGGAATCTGTGGTCCACAATTTATTCACTGGTCTATTTGCAAATAAATTATCATGATGCATTAACTTGCATGTATTGTAGCAACCAAATTGTGGTTTCCACCAGGATTTTGTAAGTACAGGTTGCAAAGAACAGCAGGTCAGGCAAACACTTAAGTAACATTCTGTTATGTGAAACACAGGAAACAAACCTACCTGCAGCTCCAACTGAGCAGGCAGCATTAGAGGAGAGAAAAATAGTTACATTACCAATTGGATTGGAAGACTTCCCTTCAGTTGGTCATTACCAATCTGGATAGAAAAGATGAAAAAATACATAGCCCTACTTTTTAGAATATGTGAGAGGAAAAAACAAAATAGCTCAACTAAGACTGACCTCCAAAAGCCACAGACACACAGCTTTGGCTTTGACACAAGGACCTTGTACTGAAATCAGTAACCCAATTCCTTCAAGAATACAAATACAATTATAGCTGAACTTTGCTTGCACATTCACAGCTTCACTACATGTGTGGGTTCTAGCTTTTCCTTCAAAAAGAAAAATTAAACCAAGCAAGCATTTCTCTGGACTTAGTAAAAAATCAGAATGACTAAAGCAGTAAAGACAGTAATTGGGCAAGAGAAAGAAGTGTAGATTGGGAAATAAAGTAGAATGATAGATAGGAAGATACTAATTCATAGCTTTTTCCCTCGCTAGCCTATTTTTCTGTATGTTTACACATCCTTCTGAAGTAATATACCTTGAGTTGAAAGTTTTATATGTTTGCATTTCAGGGCCCTCACAAAGACTGTTTAGCCTCAGAATTGCTAGAGCCCTTCAAAGCTCTCATGTGGCTCTAAACGTTTAAATGTATTTTTACATGAAGGCATGGACTAGACTATTTTTCAAGGTCCCTTCTAGCCTATAGGCAAATAAGAAAACCAAAAGAAACATAAGCTAAAACGATCATGCATCTAGAAATTGTAAAGTCTAGGAAGTTATACAAAAAAATCTCTTTCATCTATGTTTAAAGTAACAGTGGACGTCTTTATGCACTCAGCTGCCACAAACATAGGTTTTACATCGCTGTTTTTTGTCAGCATAGACACTTACTCCACAAAGTCATATTGTTTTCCACATCCATCTCCTGAAGTTTCTAACTCAGACTCAAATACTGTTTGTGAATTAAGAGAAAAGACATCTGAATTGGAAGTCACGGAAGTCCTGCAGCCACATAGTCTGAAGCCAGGACATGGGTCACATGAGTGAGATACTGATTAGCTCTCAAATCTAGTGCTTTAGCTCAGATTAATCCCAGGTGTGTGGACTGTACCTGCCATATCAACTTGGACACAGGTCCTTTTGCATGAACAAATAATGACATTTGCCAGTCTCCCCTGGGAGACTGTAGATAAGCAAATTTAATTACCTGAAATTAACTTGAGAGCTATGATTAGGCACAGAGTAGCCTGGTTTAAAATACAAATAATTATTATAACTAAATGCATTTATTTCTCCATTTCCAATCTGTGAATTTAGGGATGTAGAGCTGTTCTACTTTGACTATATGAGTCCAGGAGCTGCCAAAATCCAGGCTTCTGTGACATTACTAAATTGATCAAATCTAGGACCAGCCATACCAGTCTGCCTTAGGACACACATATTGAGAAATAGTTACACTTTCTTCCAAAATCAGGGGATTGAACATGTGATAGGCTAAATGCAAGATTTCAAAGTGGATGGCGAATAGGTTGGAAAACAGCACTGAAAAGCCAATTGGCAGGAGGAAGATCACAGCTGGAGAGAAGGGAGTGGCCTTCCCCACTTACTCGGATGCGTTTGGCTCTGCGCATGTCATCAGCTGTCAATGTGCTCTGGGTAGGCACCACACTCTCTTCATGCTGTGGCTGCAGATGCAGGGTGTGAGTTTCTGGGTCATGCTCCAGGGAAGATTGTGTTTCCTGTGGCAGCTGAGGGATTGGGATAGTGGTCTGCTCCGGTTGATCCAGACCATTCAGAGTGGCTGGTTCAGCCTCATCAAACTGCTCCTTCGTGGGAAAATGCAGCAAGTCCTGAAATTTGCAATAACCAAGAATTACTTCCCTACCTAGACAGAGATCAGTACTGGAGAGACTGTCAGCTCAGATTTAGAATTGCTGCTTATTTTTGAATGACTAGATCCATAATGCTCAGAAAAAATATTCTCCCTCTGGAAAAGTTAATTAGGTAACTATGCATAAGCAGCAAAAACTATGACAGATTCCAGACGACTTAACAAGGAAAAGACTGTGATATGACTTTTCTATATCAATACTTTTAATTGTTTTAATCTAATGAAACGAAGTCTACTTCTAATATCTCTGGTAGCAAAGTTGGGTTTTTGTTGTAACACTTGAAAATACATTCTTTTTTACCATTGTCCAAGCACACTTTAATTAACAGGCAGCTATGGTCTAATAGAAAAGGACTGTGAGCATCCGAAAGTGTCTGTATTTAATTCTAGTAAAGGATCTGATAAGTCCTCTACCCAAGCATCTAAGGAAGACTCTTTCCCATCATCCCAGTACCTGTGTCCCATCGTCACTCTTTTCCCCATTTTCACTGGTTATTTCCAGGCGGATAAATTTTGGAGGACGCCCTGGCCGTCGACCTGGACCGAATCGCCTCTTGCCTCGTCCCCTTCCTCTGCCTCTTGTTCTAAGGACAAGAGAATGGGTTACAGATCATCATGGTTATAGACTACTCCATAACACATAGTACCCTACATAATCTTTACCAACACCAGATTTTAATTTCCTCTCACTTTATTACTTTCCCAGATTTTCTCTAATGGAAACATCTGTTTTGCCGATATATACTTGCTAGATGTCTCATCTTTGTCCTCTATTACAGCTTAAATAGAGATCTTAAATTATTCTGAGGAAAAGATATATAAAAATTCAAAGCACTGACAATATTTTGTTTCTGAAATGATGTGAGAAATGCAGTCAGGACAGAACATGCTAAGCCTTAGCGTGTGTTCCCAGGAGATCATATTCCTTCCAAGAAATGTAGCTAAATTCAAAGAACTTTCTTGTTTTCTTATAAGCTTCTGGAAGGTCAGAAAAAATTTCTAACTCAACTGTTCCATAACATGCCTAGTAAACACCAGTTAAATTTTACCACCTTTCATGGATTTCTAACATACAGAAATTCCTCAATGAAAGAGACTCAGAAAGTATGTCATGAAAACTTATAGAAGTGTGTGTAGGAGGTATACCATATTAAGTAGATCATGCTTTTTTCTTCCACTCATCTATTTAACAATTTAACAAATATTATATATTTTTCCGTGGAACTTTAAAAAAATTCGCTAGAATGGAAAATTCTGATCCTAGGCAAACATAGAGAATAGCAAGATGAGCCCAATGCCCCTATAATCCAATGTCAACATTTATCAACTCACGGCCAATCTTACTCTACCTATATCCCTATCACTTTCCCACACATACTGACTAGATGATTGTGACACAAATTCCAGATATCATTTCATCTGCATTTATATCCATATGTGTCTCTAAATCGTAAGAACTCTGTGTGTGTGTGTGTGTGTGTGTGTGTGCGCATGTATGTATGACCACAATACCATTATCATACCTAAAAATACCTGATACTTGCTGAGTATTACTGTATCTAGTTAAAGTTCAAATCTTCTTAATTGTCTCAAATTTAACAGTTGACTAACAAACATTTTATCTACTATGCGTCACACACTATGCTAAGCACTAAAGACAAAAAGTTATATGCAATATATTTTACCCTCAGAGTAAAGGCAGCAGACATATAAATCAAAAATCACAATATAATATAAAAATTGCCAGGCTCAGTGGCTCAGCCTGTAATCCCGCGCCTTTGGGAGGCTGAGGTGAGTGGATTGCCTGAGCCCGCGGGTTCGAGACCCGCCTGGGCAGCGAGACCTCATCTCTACAATAAATCAAAAAATCAGCCGGGCGTGGTAGCGCATGCCTGTAATTCCGGCTACTCGGAAGGCTGAGGCGGAAGGATCGCCGGAGCCCAGCAGGCGAGGCTGTGGTGGCCGGGAGCGGCCACTGCACTCCAGTCTGGGCGACCGAGTGAGACTCCAACTCAAAAAAATAATAATAATAATAATATAAAAAGTGCTACAAGAGAGCATTGAACAGAGTATTAAGGTTACCCAGATGTGAGGAACTTAAATCTCACTGCGTCTACTCTCATCAGACGTTTACTCCCATGGTCATAACCTAGAACCTGTCACCCTCCTAAACTCCCATCACCCTTGACTTCATACACTGACCACTCACACTAGCTCCCTAGCTTACCCCTGGACCCAACAACCCTTCAACCCCACTAGCATCTCCAGTCTAATCCTGTCACTTATGTGCACTCCTGCATACCCTCAATGTTCTTTTCCCTTCCTCTATAGCATAAACTCCAAGGTCATTCATTACAATCACTCCCTTGTCGATGCTCTCAATTTTCATCTCACTGTGGCTTCATTATTCTTGCTGCATGTTGTATGCTCTTGGCAATGCCACAGCCCTGCATAATCCAGTTCCTTGCCCTCCCTTCACCAGTACTCTTGCAGCTGAATGAAGCTGGAGGACAACACCCAGCCCTCCTAGTGGTGTGAGACTTTCATTTCATGACCTTGAACCTCAAGTGGACCCTTAATGTTGCAGGCAATTGTAGGTCCCTAGAACATTCCTTTTCCTACTTGCCTAACTGCCATCTTACACTGTCTCCTCTCTTTCTAAACCCTATAAAAGTTGCCAACCCTACCTCTGTCCCATCGGCACTACCCTATTGCAACAATTCTTATTCCTCAACCAAACCATTGGAACAGCTTCTAATGAGACTCCTAGTCTTCACTCTTATTCCAATATAAGCTAGCCTCATGTTATTTTTATCTAGCACGATCTGTTAAAAATACAGTGGACATCACAATACTTTCTGTCCAGAACCCTGTAAAGACTTCCATCACACCTAGAATAAAATCCGTATTTCTTACCATTACCCACAATGCTCTACCAGATCTGGCCCCTGCTCACCCTACCTTATACAATTTTCTCCTCATCTATCTTTTTTTAAATAGTGGAATTAAACATGTGATTTATAAAAGTTTGATGAAAGATTTATACTGCTGAAAAAAGTTTGAGCTGGGTGCCGTGGCTCATGCCTGTAAACTCAGCACTTTGGAAGGCTGAGGCAGGAAAATTGCTTGAGTCCAGGAGTTTGAGACCAGCCTGGGCAACACAGTGAGACTCTGTCTCTAAAACTAAAAAAATTAGCAGGGCATGGTGGTATGTGGCTGTAGTCCCAGCAACTCGGGAAGCTGAGACAGAAGTATCACCTGAGCCTAGGAGGTTGAGGCTGTGATACGCTGTGATTGTGCTACTACTTTCCAGCCTGGGTGACAGAGTAAGACCCTGGCTCATAAAAAAAGGAAGGAAGAGAGGAGGAAGGGAGAGAAGGAGGGAGAAGGGAGGAAGGGAGGGAGAATGGGAGGAAGGAGTTTGAAAACCAGAGACGCAGATTATTTTAAAAGGTATATGTTATCTCAAAAATTCTCACTTCAAAATCTATAATTAAGGGAGATTTAGCTAAGGTGCAAGGATCTCCCATTGCTGGGTATTAGTTATGTTAGAAAAGGAATAAATGGTAAATGAGGAGGAAAGGGAAAAGGAAATGCCAAATAAAACATTTCCCTCAGCAGCCTACCTGGTTAGTTGTCTACATACACACACAGAGACACTCAGTTTATGAATAATAAAGAAATGATTTTGACCCTTTATAAACTAAGTCTGTGAGCCCTTTCCCACTCATATATACCTGCTGAACACATCCAGTTTCTCATCATGAGAATTGAGATGCTGCTGCAACTGCTCTGAGCTTATAAATCGGCGGTTACATTCATAGCAGGGCCAATTCTTTTCTTGCTCTCGAAGGACTACAGTCACAGGAGAGAAATCATAAAGGCTGATGATCAACAGATACCAGTAAAACTCTAACGCCTGCTCCCCACCATTCTTATCTCACTATAAGCCAAAGAGCTCATAATTATACAGTATCTGCTATTTGTATTTTGTTATAAAAATCAAAGGCTAAAACTTGGCAGGGAGTAACTGGCGTGTCTTTGTTATTCATGGTGCCCCTCCAACTATTCCTGAGTTTATTCTAATGAGATGTCTCAGGGAGGGGGCAGACCATGCCAAAAAAGCCCATCCATGTGATTAGAAGGTTGGGGCATTGAGCCAGGTGTTATCAACCTGACCAGGAAAGTACAGGAGACGTTGGAGATTGGGTTCAAGCACTTGGCCAATGACTCAATCAGTCATGCCTATGTAAATATCTCAATAAAATGTGTAAATGTCAATAAAAACTCCAGACACCAAAGCTCAAGTGTGCGTCTATGGCCGGTAATCATACATCAACGTGCCAAGAAGATGGCACGTCCTGAGGATATGGAAATTTCATTTTGGACCCTCTCAAACCTCACAGTATGCATCTCTTCCTTTGGCTGGTCCTTACATGTATCCTTTATAATAAAACTATATCATTAAGTATAGCACTTTTCTGTATTCTATGAGCCATTCTAATGAGTCATCAAACATAAGGAGTTACTGAGAACCCCCTAAATTGTAGCTAGTTGATCAGAAGTGAGGGTGGCTTGGGAACCTCTGAGCTTGCAGCTGATGTCTGAAGTGAGGGGCATCTTGTAGAAGACTGTCCTTAACCTGCAAAATCTGACCTATCTCTGGGTAGTGTCAGAATTGCATTTCACAACCAAATTAAAGTGAATTGTTTTACATTCATATACTAGAATACCAAATAACAATGAGAATGAATAAATTAAAATTATATACAACGTGGATGAATCTCACAAATACCATGTTGAGCAAAAGATACCCAGACACCAAAAGTGTACATAGCATGTAATTCTATTTATGCACAATTCAATAACAAGCATACCTTATGTATTGTATTAGAAGTCAGGAAAGGGACTCAGTAGGAATTAGGAGGCGACACAAAGGAACTTCTGGGGTACTAGTTATATTCTGTTTCTTGATCTAGATGCAGGTTACATGGGTGTGTTCACTTTGTGAAAATTCAAGCTGTATACTTATGATTTATTCACCTTTCTGCACGTAGATTATACTTCAGTAACATTTACATTAAAAACAAAGTCAGTGCCTGCCTTGGGGTGTCCTCAGAGTTGATTACATCTAGATAGGAATCACCCTCTGATCTAGGTTCTAATTTGATATTCGGAGGTTTTCATTATATTAAATACTATTTTGCAGCACCCATAAAAGAAGTGTAAATATGTCATTGTAATTTGATCCTAGAGTTAGATGAGATGTGTGGCTCTTAAAAGTCTACTGAAATATCTTCTGAAATATATTGAGACAGAAAAATTAGAGGTTCCATAAACAAGTAATAAATACAATTTAGAATTGATATGGAAAGTGTAAGAGATAAAAGTCCAACCACCTTTCCTTTCTTCTTCCGAAATGTCATGAATTTTCTGGTTCACGAACTCAGCATAAGATGCAGCATACCACACCTGCAAGAACCAAGCATATCATCAAGTACTAAGGGACACCACCAGATGTTCTTTGCATGCTCAAATTATTTCTCCTGCTTACAGGAAACAATTCGGGCTTTTCCATACCCAGTTTTTAAAAATCATGCTGTGAGCCTCCCCCACAACACCCTTCTAGCAGACCAGCCAGGAAGTCATTTGCCAAGACACGCTGCATGATTTTTTTTCCTCTTCAGAAAATTGCTTTTGTTACTAGAACAACTTCACAAGAATTATATTCATAGTCTCTTCATCTAAATAAAACAGCCTCCTCTGGTTGTTTTCTATATTGAAACACAGGTTTTAACACAGTTGTAGTCACAGTGGCTGCCACCTACCAGCTTACGGGGATCACTAATGGCTATGTCAAATGTGACCACAGTCTCCCGAGCCTCGTCCTCCCTCCCACCCAGCCAGCTGCTACTGCTCACTCTCCTCGTCTGGACCTTCTTCCTCTCCCTAACTTTTAAATATTGGCATTCCTCAAAGCTTAGTCCAAGTCCATGGTCTTTTCATTTTACCTTCTGGTGATCACATCTGTTTCCAACCAACTCTATGCAAATGACTCCCAAATTAGTAGCTCCATCCCAGACCTGCCTTCTCTGTTCCCTCTAAGTGCATTTCTGGATGTCTCACAAACAGCTCTAACTTACCATGTCCAGAATGGAATTCTCCATGCTTCCCAACTCACAGCCTCACCTATGCTTATCTTCCCCATCTCAGTGAATACTTTCCACCCAGTTGCTGAGGCTTGAAACCTAAAAGGTGTCTGATTTCTCGGTTTGCATCTGTAATCCTTTAGCAAGGACTGTTGCTTCCTCAGATGTTCTCCATCTCTGCTTTTCTGCCAAGACTGTTTCTTGCCTGTATTATCACCTGGACTTCTGACTAGCCTCCCCTTTTCTCTGCACTCTACACAGGAGCCAGAACAGTTTCCTTTAATCCCAATTACCCCAATCTGATCATTACACATTGTATACAGGTATCAAAATATGTGCTATACATTGACATATATAAATAAAAAACATGCAAACATAGTCAGATCTCATTATAGGGGCAAAGACTTCCCATTTCATAATAAACCAGAAACACTCAAATGATAATCTCCAAAGGGTTCCATGACCTTCCCAACCTCAATAAGCAACCTCAGGCCTCATCAACTTCCCTGACCCATTCTTCAGCAAACAGGGCCTGCTTTCAGCTGCTCAAGAATGCCAAGGGCTTTTCCACTCTAAGCCTTCACCCTTTTCACCCCCAGGAGTGCCAGACTCTTCCTTTGTGCTTCTGTTCTAACCCTTTACAGTACTGGCCCCTCTCTCCATAGTTCTTAACCTAAATATCACCTTGTCAGCAAGACCTTCCCTAACCATCACATCTAAATTCGTCCCTTTCCTGTTATCTGTTCTTTCTGCACCATCTGTTTCCTTCATGGCACATACCCCTGTGTGATATTATTTGCTTGTTTATATCTATTTCCCTCTAGAATACATGTTCCTTGAACACAGGAAGCCAGTCTGTCTCTTCCTAGTATCTGAAAGATAGTAAGAACTCAGTATATCAATCACTAGATGGATTACTCATATATAATTTTTACTGAACATTATTTTAAATATATATGGAAATATTTATTAAAAGACTTCATTTTATACTGTGGAAAAATATTCTACATAGTCTATATTATATAATTTATTTAACTATGCCTCTGTAGTTGGACTTTTAGGTGGTTTATAATTTTGTTGTAACAAATTCTACCTGAATCCATCAATTCCAATATGCAGTTTTTTAAGATACTAACATCTCAGAAATCAGACTTTGTCTCCCACTCTATGGCATTCTACAGTCGTGCCCACAGTGTAGCTCTGGCTACCTGCTCATTGCTCCTGCATAAACTCAGCCAAGCTCTTCTCCCTTGTTCAGTTATGAGCCCACTGGCATACTGTGAGTTGTTGACACTTGCCAAGCAATGCAAATGAAAGCCAAAAAAACAAAGCAAAATGCTATTTCCCTCTGAAAGAATAAAAGAAATCTCAAAGCAACACAAGGCTGGTCTGCATCCTGCAGAACCTCTCATTAAGGCATCAGACATCAAACTGTCAGAAACTTCCTACTGACTTGATCAAAAATCTCTTACTTCCAAGGATATATGATTCAATTGAGGAAAAAACACACAGATAAGTCTAGTTAAATGAGAAAGCCCAGCATCCAATGGCTTGAGGAAACACCCCCAGAGGCAACAGTGGAGCATTTATTTTAAAAATGCTACAGCAAGCAACCTGGATGGAACTAGAGTCTATAACACTGAGTGATGTCTCACAGAAACAAAGATCTGAGTATCACATATTCTCACTCATATAGTGGACCTTGAACATCCAATGTAATACTATAAGAAAATGACTGATAGTAGTGGGAAGCTATGGGGGGGCAGGGAGATGGGATTAACAGTAGCAAATATCTGTCTGGGGATGGGGAAACACGTCTTATCAACAGGGTGCCTGAATGAAACGTATTTGTATACCTAACCCTTAACTGTACCCCACAATATCATAATAAAAAATATTGATGAAAAAATAAAAATAAAAGTAAAAATGCTGCAGCAGAAGATGACAGCACACAGAAAGGCACAAATACTCATAACAAAGTAAAACAGATATTTAGGTTAAACAAACAAAAAAAAAGCCCCCACTCCACCCCCCCGACACAAAGCAGTTTATACTTCAACCAATTTATTTTGCCTAAGTGTGCCTTTTGAGTCAGAGTCTCACTCTGTCACCCAGGCTGGAGTGCAGTGGTACACATATGGCCACCACAGCTTCAACCCGCTGGGCTCAGGTGATTCTTCAGCCTCAGCCTCAGCCTCTTGAGTAGCTGGGACTACAGGTGTGTGCCACCATGCCCAGCTAATTTTTTATTTATTTATTTATTATAAAGACCAGGTCTCACCAAGTTGTCCAGGCTGGTCTCGAATTCCTGGACTCAAGCAATTCTCTCGCCTCTAACTCCCAAAAATGTTGGGCGTGAGCCACCACGCCTGGCAGGTATGCCTTTTTATGTTTACATGTGTGATGTATTTATAAAATTATGTCTAAAATAGCTCCTATAAAAATATAAAGTGGCAGGCTGGGTGACTCAGCCTGTAATCGCAGCGCTTTGGTAGGCCGAAGCACAAGGATTGCCTGAGTCTGAGTGTATGAGACCAGCCCGGGCAACTTGGCAAGACCACATCTCTACAATAAATCAAAAATTAGCTGGTCATGGTAATGTGTGCCTGTAGTTCCGGCTACTTGGAAGGCTGAGGTGAAAGGATCACTGGAGCCTAGCAGGCGAGGCTGGGGTGGCCATGAGTGTGCCACTGCACTCCAGTCTGGGCGACAGAGTGAGACTCCAACTCAAAAAGAAA